GTCCCCACGGCTGAAAGGGCGAGCATGTTTGGTGTGACGGGGATTGCGAGTCGAGCGCCCTAACCACCTGGCCATTTAATACTACTGACCAGAGAAAGGACAGCCAGTCAGCAGCATTTACCACCCACCAATGGAACCTTGGACCTACTTATACGCTAACCCGAAACGCTAACCATTAGGTCACGTTTGATTTAATCTAGATAGCTACATTTAAAATTACCTATTTGCTTACTTCTCTTGTATTTACGATAATTTCATGTATCTCAATATTTTCGTCGGAACGCAAAACTAGTATTCACAGAATTACTAACTTGTTATCAGCAACAGATAAAGCAGGTGGTCTATGCCTCAATCCGGTACTAACTCCATGGAACATGGACCACCTCCGTCAAAGAGATCCCAAGAATCAACTTAATGGCAGTCGAGGGTGACGTTCCCAACACTACTGCCAACCATCGTCACTGAACACTCGACTCTTCAGCAGATCCATCTACTAAAACAGCACTATTAAGAGATAGATGTAAAGTGGACAGAGGCCTAGACCGTATACAATAGAGAGGACAACGTCTCCATCACAGCTCGAAGATCATTTGCAAGTCGGAGCCTATGACATCATCAGTCTGACCAGTACAGCTAATCACTTGATTACTACCACTTTGGAGAATCTACTAACAGGCCTAAAGGGAGGTTATGGGAATGGAATCTTGTGCTTGCTGTTTGGAAAGTGTGTATATTGAGTATTTTTCTGCGAATTAACTTAAAGTGTTGTGTGCATGTATAATATGTGTCTTTCTTTTATTTTAATTCATCCTTCTTGATTATCTATGTTGAAAGGTCTATTTTATTTTTTATTTCGTGAATGTATTTTTGGTTTGTTTGGAATTTCACGCAAAGCTACACGAGGGCTATCCTTGCTAGCCGTCTCTAATTTAACAGTGATAGACTGGAGGGAAGGCGCGTGACGTTAATAATGTCGGCCTAGAAAGTACTAAAATTTTTGAGGTAAGTTTTTCTAATAACGTTCGAGGAGTAGACTATATATAAAAAAGGCAGTGAAGCATTGAGTAGTGTAGTTTTCGTCAGTACAGTGAACCAGTCAGAGAGTTTTTGTTTCAGCTAGTGGTGAATCAGTCAATATTTTGTTTTCATTTATATGATCGATCAGCCTTGAAGCTGTATAAGTAAGTTTGTTTTAACGTTAGTGTTGTATAGTTAGCATGGCTGTAAACGTGGCCTACAAGTTATCATAGTGTTTAAGGAAGGAAATAGTATAATTTGTTATTGTTACATACACAAACTGGATACTTAATTATTTTCACCAGATAATTTAAAAAACCTACTAACGAAAGAACAATATTTTCAATTTTATGATTTGTCTTGAAAGATTTAGCGTGTATTTTAAATATTTAATATTGTTACGTCTCCGATCGTTAGTTGATTTTCCGTAAATTCGTTCCGACGAAACTTTAGCGACACAAGTCCTTTCTTAAATAAAACTGGTTTATTCTTTCTGAATATAAAATATTGCGATACACTTAATTTCAACAGTCGCGCTATAACAAACGTCTCACGTGCTCGACTTCAACAATACTCAGTTCAATTACACACTCTCTGACTGCAGTTACTTATTACCTCGTCCCGTCACGTTGTGACCGTCTTATATATATATATATATATATATATATA